TAAGTACTTTTTCGAAATGTAGCGACCATTTTGGATTGAACACACAACTTCATCTTCTAGTGCAAGGGATTTTGGCCATTTTTCGAAAGAATGAGCGCTTGCACATTTAGAACGCTTGGAGAGTCGACGGATGAAGAATTGAGCGTAACCTTTGCACACGGTGTCCGCTTTAGGCCCATAAGAAGTTTTTGGAAATGTAACGACCGTTTTTGATTGAACTCACCACTTCATCGTGACGTACAAGGGATTTGGTTGATTTTTCGAAAGAATGAACACTTGTATATTTAGAACGCTTGGAGAGCAGATAGACTAAGAATTGAGCGAAACTTTTGCACACGGTGTCCGTTTTTGGCCCACAAGAACTTTTTGGAAATGTAGCGATCGTTTTGGATTGAACTCACTACTTCATCGTGACTTATTAGGGATTTCGGCCATTTTTTGAAAGAATGAGCATTTGCATATTTGGAACGCTTGGATTGTCGGCGTACGAAGAATTGAACGTAACTTTTGCACACGGTGGCCGTTTTGGGCCCATAAGAACTTTTTGGAAATGTAGCGATCGTTTTGGATTGAACTCACTACTTCATCGTGACTTATTAGGGATTTCGGCCATTTTTTGAAAGAATGAGCATTTGCATATTTGGAACGCTTGGATTGTCGGCGTACGAAGAATTGAACGTAACTTTTGCACACGGTGGCCGTTTTGGGCCCATAAGAACTTTTTGGAAATGTAGCGATCGTTTTGGATTGAACTCACTACTTCATCGTGACTTATTAGGGATTTCGGCCATTTTTTGAAAGAATGAGCATTTGCATATTTGGAACGCTTGGATTGTCGGCGTACGAAGAATTGAACGTAACTTTTGCACACGGTGTCCGTTTTGGGCCCATAAGTACTTTTTGAAAATGTAGTGACCGTTTTGGACTAAACTCACAACTTCGTTGTGACGTAAGAGGGATTTTGGCCATTTTTTGAAAGAACGAACGCTTGTATATTTACAACGCTTGGAGAGTCGGCGGACAAAGAATTGAGCGTAACTTTTGCACACGGTGTCCGCTTTGGGTCCATAAGAAGTTTTTGGAAATGTAACGACCGTTTTGGATTGAACTCACCACTTCATCATGACGTACGAGCGATTTTGGTGATTTTTCGAAAGAATGAGCACTTGCATATTTGGAACGCTTGGAGAGTCGGCGGACTAAGAATTGAGCGTAACTTTTGCACACGGTGTCCGTTTTTGGCCGACAAGAACTTTTTGGAAATGTAGCGACCATTTTGGATTGAAGTCACCACTTCATCGTGACATATTTGGGATTAAGGCCATTTTTCGAAAGAATGAGTACTTGCATATTTGGAACGCTTGGATTGTCGACGTACGAAGAATTGAGCGTAACTTTTGCACACGATGTCCGTTTTGGGCCCATAAGAACTTTTTGAAAATGTTGCGTCCGTTTTGGATTGAACTCACCACTTCGTTGTGACGTACGAGAGATTTTGGCGATTTTTTGAAAGAATGAGCACTTGCATATTTAGAACGCTTGGAGAGTCGACGGACTAAGGATTGAGCGTAACGTTTGCACACGGTGTCCGTTTTTGGTCCACAAGAACTTTTTGGAAATGAAGTGACCGTTTTGGATTGAACTCACCACTTCGTCGTGACGTATTGGGGATTTCGGCCATTTTTCGAAAGAATGAGCACTTGCATATGTGGAACGCTTTGATTGTCGACGTACGACGAATTGAGCGTAACTTTTGCACACGGTGCCCATTATGGTACCATTAAAACTTTTTGGAAAAGTAGCGATCGTTTTGGATTGAACTCACACCTTCGTCGTGATGTACGAGGGATTTTGGCCATTTTTCGAAAGAATGAGTGCTTGTATATTCAGAACACTTGGAGAGCCGGTGGACGAAGAATTAAGCATAACTTTTGCACACGGTGTTCGCTTTGGGCCCATAAGAAGTTTTTGGAAATGTAACAACCGTTTTGGATTGAACTCACCACTTCGTCGTGACGTACGAGGGATTTTGGCGATTTTTCAAAACAATGAGCACTTGCATATTTAGAACGCTTGGAGAGTCGGTGGACTAAGAATTGAGCGAAACTTTTGCACACGGTGTCCATTTTTGGCCCACAAGAACTTTTTGGAAATGTAGCGACCGTTTTGGATTGGACTCACCACTTCGTCGTGACGTATGAGGGATTTTGGCCATTTTTCGAAAGAATGAGCACTTGCATATTTGGAACGCTTGGATTGTCGATGTACTAAGAATTGAGCATAACTTTTGCACACGGTGTCCGTTTTGGGCCCATAAGTATTTTTGGGGAATGTAGCGACCGTTTTGGATTGAACTCACCACTTCATGTTGTCGTACGAGGGATTTCGGCCATTTTTTGAAAGAATGAGCGCTTGCATATTTAGAACGCTTGGAGAGTCGACGGACGAAGAATTGAGCGTCACTTTTGCACATGACGTTCGCTTTGGGCCCATAAGAAGTTTTTGAAAATGTAACGACCGTTTTAGATTGAACTCACCACTTCGTCGTGACGTACGAGGGATTTTGGTGATTTTTCAAAAGAATGAGCACTTGCATATTTAGAACGCTTGGAGAGTCGGCGGACTAAGAATTGAGCGAAACTTTTGCGCACGGTGTCCATTTTTGGCCCACAAGAACTTTTTGGAAATGTAGCGACTGTTTTGGATTGAACTCACCACTTAGTCGTGACGTATGAGGGATTTCAGCCATTTTTCGAAAGAATGAGCACTTGCATATTTAGAACGCTTGGAGAGTCGGCGGACGAAGAATTGAGCGAAACTTTTGCGCACGGTGTCCATTTTTGGCCCACAAGAACTTTTTGGAAATGTAGCGACTGTTTTGGATTGAACTCCCCACTTAGTCGTGACGTATGAGGGATTTCAGCCATTTTTCGAAAGAATGAGCACTTGCATATTTAGAACGCTTGGAGAGTCGGCGGACGAAGAATTGAGCGAAACTTTTGCGCACGGTGTCCATTTTTGGCCCACAAGAACTTTTTGGAAATGTAGCGACTGTTTTGGATTGAACTCACCACTTCATCATGACGTACGAGGGATTTTGGTGATTTTTTGAAAGAATGAGCACTTGCATATTTGGAACGCTTGGAGAGTTGGCGGACTAAGAATTGAGCGAAACTTTTGCACACGGTGTCCGTTTTTGGCCCACACGAACTTTTTGAAAATGTAGCGATCGTTTTGGATTGAACTCACTACTTCATCGTGACTTATTAGGGATTTCAGCCATTTTTTGAAAGAATGAGCACTTGCATATTTGGAACGCTTGGATTGTCAGCGTACGAAGAATTGAGCGTAACTTTTGCACACTGTGTCCGTTTTGGGCCCATAAGTACTTTTTGGAAATGTAGCGACCGTTTTGGACTGAGCTCACAACTTCATTGTTACGTACAAGGGATTTTGGCCATTTTTTGAAAGAACGAGCGCTTGTATATTTAGAACGCTTGGAGAGTCGACGGACAAAGAATTGAGCGTAACGTTTGCACACGGTGTCCGCTTTCGGCCCATAAGAAGTTTTTGGAAATGTAACGACCGTTTTGGATTGAACTCACCACTTCATCATGACGTACGAGGGATTTTGGTGATTTTTTGAAAGAATGAGCACTTGCATATTTAGAACGCTTGGAGAGTCGGCGGACTAAGAATTGAGCATAACTTTTACACACGGTGTCCGTTTTTGGCCCACAAGAACTTTTTGGAAATGTAGCGACCGTTTTGGACTGAACACACAACTTCGTTGTGACGTAAGAGGGATTTTGGCCATTTTTTGAAAGAACGAGCGCTTGTATATTTAGAACGCTTGGAGAGTCGGCGGACTAAGAATTGAGCATAACTTTTACACACGGTGTCCGTTTTTGGCCCACAAGAACTTTTTGGAAATGTAGCGACCGTTTTGGACTGAACACACAACTTCGTTGTGACGTAAGAGGGATTTTGGCCATTTTTTGAAAGAACGAGCGCTTGTATATTTAGAACGGTTGGAGAGTCAGTAGACAAAGAATTGAGCGTAACGTTTGCACACGGTGTCCGCTTTGGGCCCATAAGAAGTTTTTGGAAATGTAACGACCGTTTTGGATTGAACTCACCACTTCATCATGACGTACGAGGGATTTCGACCATTTTTCGGAAGAATGAGCACTTGCATATTTGGAACGCTCGGAGAGTCGGCGGACTAAGAATTGAGCGTAACTTTTGCACACGGTGTCCGTTTTGGGCCCAAAAGTACTTTTTGGAAATGTAGCGACCGTTTTGGATTGAACTCACCACTTCATCATGACGTACGAGGGATTTCGACCATTTTTCGGAAGAATGAGCACTTGCATATTTGGAACGCTCGGAGAGTCGGCGGACTAAGAATTGAGCGTAACTTTTGCACACGGTGTCCGTTTTGGGCCCAAAAGTACTTTTTGGAAATGTAGCGACCGTTTTGGATTGAACTCACCACTTCATCATGACGTACGAGGGATTTCGACCATTTTTCGGAAGAATGAGCACTTGCATATTTGGAACGCTCGGAGAGTCGGCGGACTAAGAATTGAGCGTAACTTTTGCACACGGTGTCCGTTTTGGGCCCAAAAGTACTTTTTGGAAATGTAGCGACCGTTTTGGATTGAACTCACCACTTCGTCATGACGTACGAGGGATTTCGACCATTTTTCGGAAGAATGAGCACTTGCATATATGGAACGTTTGGATTGTCGGTGTAACGCCCCATTTTTTTTATTAAGCATAAACACGGGAACGTTACGAAAACTCATTTTTCTTTAATTAAAAAAGTTCGGAACTATATAAAATTCTTCAATAAACAAATAATTGTAACGTTTAAATTAAAATTATTGAAAGCGTATCTAACCATAAACATAAACTCCTAAGTAATTCAAATAATGTGTTCTAAATTAAAATAAACAAATTGCTAAATTTAAAATGGCAAACTTATTTCTTTTTCTCTATTCTTTATCCACTTGACAGTCCGCATCACCAATTCTCCACTGTTCCAATTGACCCGAACTAATCTGAAAAATTAATGTAAGAGTGAGTATTAAAA